AGAGAGAGAAACATGTATGTAAGAGCAAAATGGAACTGTAGCCTTCTGTGCACCCCCTACCCGGGGATGAGCCCCAGCCATCAACATGAGTGCTGACTGGGAATTGAACTGGCAACCTTTTTGTGTTCAGAACGATGCCCAACCAACCTTGCCACCCTGTCCAGGGCTGAATAACATTTTTAAGATGAAAGTAACCATCTGTTTTTAAAGTATTTGAGTGCCTTCCAGACACTGTGCCAGGAATAGTAATCTTAGTAACTTCCTCAGAGGTTCAAAAATAGTGTCAATGTTTTTACATGGCGTGTAATGGTTACAGTTAAAAGAAACACTTCTGGCTGATAATAAGGATATTATAATATTAAAATGCATTTTTTCCCTTTAAAAACACTTAATAGCTTTAGCAAGATAATGCACATAGTCTATAATCCATCCACTTAAATTTTTTAAATTGTGGTAAATGCAAGAAGTGCAGTTCTTTATATTTGTGTTTACCACAATGGGGCCCATTGCCTAAGTTGTTTTTATTTATTTTAGAGTACTGCTAGATTTTTTAAAAAAAAACAAAACCCTGTTTGAGTTTGGGAATAAACAGAACAATAGAGAGGCAACCACACACAAATAAATGCTCTGAGAGAGCGAATGCCTAGATTCTGTGCTTAAAAAAAACTTTTGGTGTTTTTCCAAATTAATAAAATTTTTCTTGAAATTAGGATTTTGTTTCTAGATGAGAAGGTTGCAGGCTACTATTTTCAATCAACTTTTTAACACGTTGACTTTGGGTGGTGACACATAATACATTATTCAGGTGATGTATTATAGAATTGAACACCTGAGACCTGTATACTGGCAATATTATTAACCAATGTCACCCCAATAAATTAAAGTAAAATAAAACAAAAATGAACACATTATGAGTAGGTAGTCTTTATTCCAAATAAGTGAGAAAAACCTATATGTATAAAAGGATAAGTGACCGACAGTCCTGTCAGTCTGACCGACCAACCAGCCGGTACATATGACACCCAGTGGCAATTTAAAAATAAACGACACACATGCCCGATATTTGTCCCCATCTGCCTCCCATATAAATTAGAAGACAGTTTCCTGTGGTGCCAGCATTTGCTATGACTATTAATAAATCACAAGGACAAACTCTAGACAGTATTCCTACCTGAGCCTGTTTTTGGACATGGTCAGTTATATGTTGCTTTCTCTCGAGTTTGAAGAGCGTGTGATAAAGTTATAAATACTTCATCACAAGGGAAATTAGTCAATCACTCGGACTGAAAGTGTTTTTACTCTTAATGTGGTATACAGGGAGATAATAGAATAAGTTTAATCAATATATCAGTCGTTTTTAAAATATATATATTTTATTAATTTTTTTACAGAGAGGAAGGGAGAAGGATAGAGAGTTAGAAACATCAATGAGAGAAACATTGATCAGCTCTGCCTCTTGCACATTCCCTACTGGCAATGTGTCCGCAACCAAGGAACACGCCCTTGACTGGAATCATACCTGGGACCCTTCAATCTGCAGGCATCAGCTCTATCCACTGAGCCAAACTGGTGAGGGCTAGCTGACATATTGAAAATGAAAAATCAAAGTAGGCACTATTATGCCTTTGATACGAATCCTCTGAAACGCTCCATCCCCTGGAGGCTTGCACACTGCCTGCAGGGAGCATTGATGTGAGCTTGCTTTGCTGAGTTCTTACCCTTCCTTTCCATCTAAGCCCTTTGCTGGAGTGGCTGATAGAACCCAGGCTGGTTTGCCTCAAGTCACCCATGTAATCGTGCAACATGCGTAAACTTGCGACTCCACATCCATGTTAAAAAGAAGTGAACTCAGCCGAAGTCGGTTTGGCTCGGTGGTAGGGCGTCGGTCTGTGGACTGAGGGGTCCCAGGTTCGATTCTGGGCAAGGGCATGTACATTGATTGTGGGCACATTCCCATAGGGAGTGTGCAAGAGGCAGCTGGTTGATGTTTCTCATCGATGTTTCTAGTTCTCTATCTCCCTTCCTCTCTGTAAGAAAAATCAATAAAAATATATTTAAAGAAAAAAAAAGAAGTGAACTCAGGCTGGGCCTGGCATATTTCAGACCCTGCTCCCTATTAGATAGGACTAGCCTAATATTACCACCTCCCACTATAGTTGACAAGATTCACTGAGTTAATAATAAAGTGTATAGTCCAGAGCTGGGCATGCAGTGATTGCTTTGTTTGCCTTTATTGATATCACTAGAGGCCTGGTGCACAAGATCCGTGCGTGGGGTGGGGGTTTGTCACTAAGCCCCCGCCTTCACCTCCAATCTGGGATTCCTCAAGGGATGTCCGACTGCCTGTTTAAGCCTAAAGGGGCAGTCGGACATCCCTCTCACAATCCAGGACTGCTGGCTCCCAACTGCTCGCCTGCCTGCCTTCCTGATTGCCCCTAACTGCTTCTGCCTGCCAGCCTGATCCCCCCATAACCACTCCCCTTCCAGCCTGATCAGTGCCTAACTGCTCCCCTGCCAGATCAATTGCCCTTAACTGCCCTCCCCTGCAGACCTGGTGACCCCTAACTGCCCTCCCCTGCAGACCTGGTCACCCTCAACTGCCCTTCCCTGCAGGCTCAGTCACTCCCAACTTCCCTCCTCTGCCAGCCTGGTCCCTCTCAACTGCCCTCCCCTGCTGGCCATCTTGTGGTGGCCATCTTATGTCCACATGGAGGCAGCCATCTTGTGTGTCGGAGAGGTGATCAATTTGCATATTACTCTTTTATTATTATATATAGGATAGAGGCCTAGTGCACTGGTGAGGGCTTGCTGGTTTGCCTTAAGGGTGTCCCAGATCAGGGTGGGGATTCCCTTGCGGTATGGGGCAGCCTGGGAGAGGGGCCTGTGGTGGTTTGCAGACTGGCCACGCCCCCATGGAGTGAGGGTCCCTGCTGGGGTGCCAGGCCAGCCTGGATGAGGGGCTGATGGCTGTTTGCAGGCTGACCACACCCCTCAGCGGGGACTCTTACTCCATGGGTGCCAGCCTGGGTAAGGGGCTGAGGGCCATTTTCAAGCTGGCCACAGCCCCTTCAGGGTAGGAGCCCCTGCTGGGGTGTCTGGCCATCATGTGAGAGGCTGAGGGCTTCCAGCCCCTCCTTTTTTTCTTTCAGCACCTCCTTTAGTGGAGGCCAGGTCCAGCTGGAAGCAGGTATCTGGGCTTTATTTATCTTCTATAATTGAAACTTTGTAACCTTGAGTAGAAGCCAGGGCTGGCCAGGGTGGGCGGGAAGCTTGGCTTCCTGTATCGCTGGGGGCAATCCAAGTGTCCTGCTCACTCCAGCTCCATGGCTGCCACCATCTTTGTTGGGTTAATTTGCATACTCTCCCTGATTGGCTGGTGGGCATAGCAGATGTATGGTCAATTTGCATGTTTCTCTTTTATTAGTGTATATTCCTATTACTACTAGCAATACAGTGAGGATGAGATTCAGGAACAGTCTGTGAATAATGAAATATTAACAGATTTTTGCACACATGGAAATGTACTTGACACTGGTGAACAAAATACGGAGACATTTACAATCTTTTTATTCTTCTGAAATATCTCTTTTGTAACTTAATTTCACATAACTTAATACAGCTTTGGGAGTGTGAGAAAAAAATGGCAGAATTGAGCTAACGCGTACAGTAGCTTTCTGAGACCATAGCTACAGAGAAGAGCCTCTCTGAGCTGGCTTCCCAGGCCAGATAACCAGACTGCTCAGCTTCAGAAAAGCATTGCCTCTTTGGGCACCCGAATCCAGTGAGGCTGCTCCACACAGGGCCTTTCTGGGTCCTCAGAGGGTTCCTGGCACAGCCCCATCGTTTCCACAGAAGCTCAGGTGGTTAATCACAGGTTCCTGGTGTGCAGGGCCTCGTTCTCTCATGTCTAACCTGTTGGTAGGAACATTTCAATTCCAGGCAATCCTGAGTGCATAACCCTAGATGCTGATGAGATTTTCAGAGTGCTGGTTGCGATTGATGTGCAGGGGGATGAAGGGAAATTGGTGTGAGCCACTAAATGGCATGTCCTGCTCAGCCTCTCTCCAAGCACTCAGTAGCCACACGTGAAGGTAGGCCTCCGCCTATCGATGGTGCTGCTATCGATGAGAAATGCCTGTGGGCACTCCCCTGGGCCCGGGGAGAGCTCCTAGCGACATTTCCCTTTTTGGAGCCGATGTGGTGGTGGACAGGCCTTTGTGGTTCTCACTGTGATTGCAAGACACAGCTCAGCAACAACCATCGGGGGAACTTTGAAAAACCACCATATGTTGTACGCTCAGGCCGTACTATGAGGTCAATATTGGTTTGTTATTCATCTGTGAGCCAAATTAATTTCTATACAGAAATGCCTTCTGATCCAGCAGCCAGTGTGGTGTTTTGGAAAGGAATTGTAGACCTCTCCCACATGAGCCCAAACTAGAATGAAGTGAAACCCAGTTCTATCTCCCTCACATGGCTTCTGACCATTTGGCAAGAGGTATTTATGGTCTTTATATCAAAAGGCTTTGCTCCCCAAGCTAAAACCCTGAGGTGTGACTGCCAGGAAGCAAATGTTAATAGCATTCTGGTTTATCACTGCGGGCTTTTTTCTCATCTTCCCAGGACCGAGCTATTTTAAACTTCCGGAGTGTTCCAAGCATCCTCGCCCCTCTTTGATCTTTCCTCACACTCTTCAAGTGAGAAGCAAAATTCAGTGGAAACATAGTTAAAGGGTTGGGGAGACAGAAAAATGAGATGAAAAGGAGCAGACCATGTCCTTCTAATCTTGTGACTTTAGGTCCAAGGCAAGATCAGAAAGGACAGTGGTGTCCCCTGGCCTCAGAGTCAGCTGTTGCGGCCTCTGGTCTGAACCCAGGATGGATTCGGTTGTGGCAAGTCTACACGTGGGTCTGAAATGCTACTCGACAGACACTAGAGGATCCGGCCACTTTTGGCTTAGCGATGGCCTCTGGTGGGTGCTATTGGCCTGGTGAACACACTCAGCAGGTGCAGTGGGTCTTGTCATTGGGCACCTGGGCCATGAGGACTGGACTGGAGTCCAGGGGCAGGTGGCTCAGGGCGCTGTCCCCGTACAGCTGCAGGCTGTTGCGGGCGATCAGCTCCCTGGCCATGAGCACAAAGACTTCATCTATGTTCTTGGACTCCTTAGCTGATGTCTCCAAAACTGCAAGGAGGCCGTATTTCTCAGCCAGCGTACAGGCGTCCTCAAACAGAACGTGCCGTTTCTCCCACAGGTCACATTTGTTCCCTGGGAGTGAGAGAGAAGCAAATTGCATTGAGTAACTTAATCTGATTTTTAAAAAATGAACTTTAGAAAGAACATCTTCGTTCAGCAATAGGCATGCATGCACTTCTTCCCAAACAGTAAATGAGGCCAAATTTAATGAAAATGAAACCACATATGAATGGAAACACAGCCACTATCTGAATTCACTGTTTTTAAGATCTTTTAAGAGCTGTAGGACTGGACCAGAGGTATGTGTGTTATTGGCCCGGACAGGTGGAGCCTCCATATTCTTGGGAGGGGCCATTTCTCCTACGTGTGACAAGATAAGGTGCCAGAGCGATTCCCTCTTGCTTCTCTCTTCTCCCTTTAGATGTCATTCCCCTTTCTCCCTAACCGCAAAGTGTTGGACACTGAAGTAGAATCTGGTCTAGCTGGAAGTTGTGGTCAGGATTTCTTGGGTTGAAGCTGTGGAATGTATAAGGAAGGACTTATTTTGCTAGCTGTAATTTGCATACAATAAAATGCATAGACTTGACACTCAGTAGGTCTTGATGAATGTGTATGTAAGTGGTTTGAGATTATCCATTAGAGTGAGACCGTTGCAAGACCATGCAATTCTGCTCCCAGGTATGTACCCAAGGGAAGTATGAGCCCATGTGCATCCATAAACACAAGAACCTTCAGGGCAGCAATTTTGCTAATTATCCCAACTGAAAACAACTCGAATGTCCATCAACCAACAGAGGGGGGAATAAAAGTAATGCTGAGGGAAAGAAGCTTAGACAAAATGACACTCGGTACAATGCCATTTTTAGAAGGTTCAAAAACAATAGCAAAATAGAGCTGCTGATAAAGAAAATGGAATGATGTCATTAAAGCCATGATGGGCCAAGGCCAGTTTGGCTCAGTGGACGGAGCATCCGCCTGCGGACTGAAGAATCCTGGGTTCGATTCCCGTCAGGGGCACATGACTTGGTTGTGGGCACGTCCTCAGTGGAGGGCGTGCAGGAGGCAGCTGATAGATATTTCTCTCTTATCAGTGTTTCTGACTCTCTGTTGAAAATTGATAGAATATATTTTTTTAAAAGGGAGAAAATAAAAATAAAAGTCATGATGGGCTTACTTTGGGGTAGAAAATAAGTAACAGATATAAGATAAGCAAGGGGAGCTGGGGAGGAGGGTGCACTCTTTCTTGACCCAAGTGGTATTTACACAAGTGTTCCCTTTGTGATGTCAGTGTTTGCCAACTTTCCTCTATGCATTATGTCCCAATGAAAAAAGACTGAAAAAATGCTTTCTCCTAGAGAGTAGGCAGACTGCTCAGTTGTGGGGGGCAGGCAGTATTCAGTGGGTGGACGGTTTGAGCAAAAAGGAAAAGAGAACTCATGGACATGGACAACAGTGTGGTGATGGTGAGGGAGGATGGGGGCGGATGGAGGAGGTAGAGGAGGGATAAATGGTGATGGAGAAAAATAAAAATAAAAAATACTCAGCATCATAGGCACCAACCTGGTCATTGACAGAGCTAGATTTTTATCATAATTCTCCCCAAATAAGGTTAAATCCAAGGGTCCTTATCCTTCCTGGGACTGTGAGGCTGGAAAATGGTCCCGAAGGACATGGTCCTACGCCCTGGGAGTTGTAAATGTTACTTTATCTGCAAAAAGGGTCTTTGCAGATATGATTAAGTTAAGAATCTTGGGCCCTGGAGAGAATTCTGGATTAGCGGGGTGGGCCCAAGTGCAATCAAGTATAGTCTTACACAGGAGATAGAGGGAGACTAGAGTACACACACCGAGGAGTGATGGGAAGACAGAGGCAGCCACGAGCACAGAACGCTGACAGCCACTGGACCAAAGAACAGATTCTCCCTTAGAGCCTCCGGCGGGAGGACAGTCCTGCTGACACCGTGATTTCGGCCCAGGGATACCGATTTCCGGTTTCTGGCCTCCAGAACGGAGTGAGAACACACTTCTGTTGTTTTCAGGCACCCAGTTTATGGTAATTAGCAACTTCAGGAAACTAACTCAGGTTTGTAGCTTCAAGAAAACTGTATGTGTGTTTATTGCTTGTGAGGTTTACGTTCAGGGCACAGCCCTGCTTTTAGAACAGTGGTTCTCGACCTTTCTAATGCCGCGACCCTTTAATACAGCTCCTCACGTTGTGGTGACCCCCAGCCATAAAATTATTTTGATTGCTACTTCATAACTGTAATTTTGCTACTGTTATGAATCGTAATGTAAATATCTGTGTTTTCCGATGGTCTTAGGTGACCTTGCAAGTGTTCTGCTGTAGAGTTGGCTAAGACCATCGGAAAACACATATATTTACATTATGATCCGTAACAGTAGCAAAATTACAGTCATGCAGTAGTAATGAAAATAATTTTATGATTGGGGGTCACCACAACGTGAGGAGCTGTAGTAAAGGGTCGCGGCATTAGAAAGGAGAACGACTGGCTTAGAAGAAAGGTGTGAGGGCCCTTGGTTGGGACAGGGATGCTTCCAGAGCAGGAATCCCTGAGCCAGGAGTCTAGGCCACGCCTCACCCTGATCTGTGGCTTCTGGGCTGGCTGCACTGGCTCTGACTGCTCCTCCCACCTGCCCCAGTGCCAGCCCTGGTTAACGGACTGTCCCCGGGTTGGCCTCCAACAGCTGCTGGTTGCAACCTCAGGACAAGCCAGGACACCTGGCGGGAGGGAAAGAATCGTGCTTGCTCCTGCAGTCTGAGTCTGCTTGCTACGTGTTCTGTGTGGACACCAGAGATGCATGGTCCTGTCCCCAAGAAAGGGATTCTTCATTGTGCTGGGAGGCAAGAGAGACACTTGGACAATTAAAAAGCCAAATAGCCCTACCTGGTTTGGCTCAAGTGAATCTAGTGTCAGCCTGAGAACTCCTGAATACAGAGGTCTGGACCCCATCCCAGGTCTCCAGAATGAGAAACTCTGGGATGGGGCCTTGGGATCTGCATTCTTAACAAGTTCACACCACCCCCTCTCGTTTTCAGGTGAATCTGATGGAATTTCTGGGCCAGGTGCTTTCTGAGGTCCTCTCACCATTTGCACTTTATGATTGCATGCTCCCCTGCCACCGGAAACACACAAAAAGCCGGCTGTCAGGGGGGGGGGGGGGGGGGGGGGGGCGATAAAGCAAAGGTAAACCCTTTGAGAACGCCATACCGATCAGCATGATGACCAGATTCGCGGCTCCGTATTTTTCAATCTCGTGAATCCAGTGAGGAACGGACTCGAAGGTGGACCGCCGGGTGAGGTCGTAGGCGATGATGGCCGCGTGGGCGCTGCGGTAGTAGCTCTGGGTGATGGTGCGGAAGCGCTCCTGGCCGGCGGTGTCCCACACCTGCATCTGGGGGCGGGCGGGAAAGCGGATGGCGTCAGGAGCGCCCACGTCCGATGGGGACTTGCTCACTAAGTCGTCTGCAAAATGCAGTTCCCTGGGTTTTACTTGAGATAGCCAAGTTCAGGAGATCTGGGCTGGGCCAGGGTAATCTGGATGGGCTCTCAGGTTTGGGAGCCCCCACCTCAGGGGTGCGTTAGTTGGAGGGTGGGGATTCAGTGTTCTGGGGTCTGGTGTTCATTCCCCTTTGCGTCTCAATCATCCCTTCCTCCAGATCTTGGGGCTTATCTCTTGAACCTGCCCATTGCTATTAACACTGGAAAAGGAAGTAATGTTGGCTGAACTGTTTTGATTTTAAAGGTCCACTCCACTGTTTATGTTCAGGAGTATCCTCATAATATTACCTCCTAAACCACCATCCCGAGCAATGGTGTCAATTTATACACCTTCTATCTGTTTCTTCATATACTCACATTATTTACAAAATTATTTTTTTTAACATATAGTTTTTATTGATTTCAGAGAGGAAGGGAGAAAGAGAGAGATGATGATGAGAGAGACTCATTGATTGGCTGCCTCCTGCACATATCCTACTGGGACTGAGCTTGCAACCTGGGCGTGTGCCCTGTGACCTCCTGATTCCTAGGTTGACGCTTAACCATTGAGTCATGCCAGCCAAGCACAAAGTTTATTTTTTAAATAAAGTTTGCAAACATATACAAGATTAGAGAGAACAGAGTAATGAACCCTCATATACCTATCATTCCAGATTCAGTAATTATTATTAAATAATTATCAAGATTTTACCACTTTTGCTACAACTAGCCTGTTCTGTTGATTTCTTTGTTTTTATTCTTCAATTTTTAAAAAAATCCTCATCTGAGGATATTTTTTTCATTGATTTTTTTTTAGAAGAGTGAAAAGGAGGGAGGGTAGAGGAGGAGAGGGAGAGAGAGAGAGAGAGAGAGAAAGAGAGAGAGAGAGAGAAAGAGAGAGAAACATCTATGTGAGAGAGATACATTGACTGGCTGCCTCCTGCACTTCCAAATGTGTTCCAACCAGGGCCAGGGATTGAGTCTGCAACTGAGGTACATGCTCTTGACCCGGAATTGAACCCTCTAACCACTGAGCACCCAGCAGGGCTCTTTGAGGTATTATTTTATTTATTTTTCTTGTCTGCAGCATCATCCATGATCATCCAACTGCCTCTAGAATGTTCACACCTGTTACTGCAAATTCAAAGCCCAGGAAGAACTCCTGGGAATTTACTATAAGCCAGTGAGGTCTTATTTTATTTTTTTAAAGAGTAAACGCATTTTTATTTGTTTTTTTTGTTTTGTTTTCTTTTTATATATTTTATTGATTTTTTTACAGAGAGGAAGAGAGAGAGATAGAGAGCTAGAAACATCGATGAGAGAGAAACATCGACCAGCTGCCTCTTGCACACCCCCACCGGAGATGTGCCCACAACCAGCGTACATGCCCTTGACCGGAATCGAACCTGGGACTTTTCAGTCCGCAGACCGATGCTCTATCGCTGAGCCAAACCGGTTTTGGCAATGTGAGGTCTTATTTTAAAGCAAACCCCAGACTTCATGTCATTTCATCCCTGCTTACATTGACATACATCCCTATAAAAACGGACATTTTTTTTCATACCCACAACGCTATTATCACTAATACACTTTCCGATAACTCCTTGGTTTTATTTAATGCCCAGTCCATACGAAGATTTCCTGATTGTCTCCAAAATGTATTTTTACTATTGTTTTTATTTAATAAAGATCCCAAATAAGATCTATTTATTACATTTTTGCCTATATTTTTTAATCTTTTCTAATCAAATGGGTAAAAGGCAGTATTTTACTATTAGCTTATTGGTTAATTATGAATGTGGATGGACACCTTTACACAAATGTATGAGCTCGTTCTTATAAAATCTGTGATACAACAGTTTTGTTCAGTCTTTGAATAGCCTACTTTTGTGTGTGTGCTTGGTTGGTTAGTTTTTTTTCTCAGGGCTCTTTTCATGTTAAAGCAATTAGCCATTTGTCAAGTCCCATATATGCAAATATTTTTTTCCAAGTGTCATTCATCTTTTGACTTGGTTTAGAGTGTTTTTGAATATGTAGAAATGTTACATTTATATGGTTACATAGAGATATGTACATTTGACCTTGAGATAGTTAGATTAAGCAATATTTACCCTTATGGCTTCGGGGCTTGTCTCTTTCACATTATTTACTTATTTTTATTGTTGACACTATTACAGACATCCTGGGTTTCTATTCTTACTGAAAAGCCCAATTTCCTCATTCCACTGATAAAAAGGAATACACCTATGTTTTTTCCTGATACTTTTATGATTTCATGTGTTTTTTTAAAAATATATTTTATTGATTTTTTTACAGAGAGGAAGAGAGAGGGACAGAGAACCAGAAACATCGATGAGAGAGAAACATCGACCAGCTGCCTCCTGCGTACCCCTCCCCCCCGGAATGTACCTGCAACCAAGATACATGCCCTTGACCAGAATGGAACCTGGGACCTTTCAGTCCGCAGGCTGAAGCTCTGTCCATTGAGCCAAACCGGTTTCAGCATGATTTCATGTTTTACATTTAAATCTTTTATTCCTCAAGCACGTGTTTCGGGGTTAGGAGCTCTGGCTAAACGAGGAGGAGCGAACCCCAGGCCCTCTGACCTTCACTTTCCTGCCATCGATGTCCAGGGTGCGCACAGTGAAGTCCACCCCGATCGTGTTCTGCTGTGTCTCCGCGTAGACCCCGGATTTGAAATGCTGCACCACACAGGTCTTCCCCACGTTGGAGTCCCCGATGAGGATGATCTTGAACAAATAGTCGAAGTTCTCATCTGCTGCCCTGGCTGAGCTGGAGAACTGCATGGCGCTGCCTACCTAGAGCGGAGCTGGGAAGAAAAGGAGGCATTAGGCGTCTCTTTAGTGAGCACCTACCAGGCGCCAGGCATGGTTCAAGGCACTTGGGGTCTAGGACAGGACAAGGCAGGGGGAGATCGTTGCTTTCAGAGCACTAACATCCTCTTGGCCCTGGCTGGTTTGGCTCAGTGGATAGAGCATTGGCCTGTGGACTGAAGGGTCCTGGGTTCAATTCTGGTCAAGGGCATATGCTGGGGTTGCCAGTAGGGAGTGTGCAGGAGGCAGCCTATCAATGAGTCACTTTCATTACTGATGTTTTTATCTCTCCCCCCTCTCCATTCCTCTCAGAAATCAATATATATAATATATGAGAAACATGCAAATTTGACCATACCTTCACCACACCACAAGCCATGCCCACCAGCCAATCAAGGTGAGCATGCAAATTAACCCAACAAAGATGGTTGTTAATTTGCATATCCAGGCCAGAGCAAACACTGAAGACAGTGCTACAGAGAAGCAAGCAAGCAGGGCAGCGGAGAAGGAAGAGAAGCAGGCAGGGCAATGGAGACCGCAGCAGGAAGCCCTATTGCAGGAATCTTCCTGCAAGGGGCCTCTAATATATATATATATATATATATGTATATCCTCTTGGTTGAAGGGCACTAATTACTGGTCAGGTACAAGGGAGCTCCCCCCTAAGCTCACACCTGCCTTAGGTGGGTTGACAGTACTTTAGGGGTGCCCTCAGGATGAGGAGGTCCTGCCATTCTCTGCTGGGCCCACTACTCAGTCATCACAGTCGGATGACAGCATTGATGGAAATCCTAGTCATTGAAACCAGGGACTCCGTGAGCCATGGATGCCCACTCAGCAGGAGTGTTTTTCCTGCCATTCTTCAGATGATAGTCATGCCTAGCTTTTCACAGGGGAAGAAGGACTCCAAACTACTGAGAGGCCAAATGTCCAGGCAACCAGCAACAAAGGACTGACAAGATCGGACCGAAAAGTCAGTTCAAGGAAGAGCGACATGGTCTTTTTCTTCTGGCTGGCCCCTACTTTTTCTTGTTGTGGAAATTTGGGTTTTGAGAAAATCCAAAGAGAAAACTGTAGTGAGAATGTTTATGGCATACTTCACCATTAGCTGGAAAATAAAGTTTCTAAGTGACAGTGTTTCCCACACTAACTGGTTACATCAAAATTATTTGGGGAGATAATTAGAAATACATATTCCCCAAGCCCATCCCAGATCTGCTAAAGATATTTAAAAACCTGCGTACGCACACATGCACACACTCGCCAAGTGATTCTGATGCCTGCCCAGCCAGATTTGGAAAACACTGCTCAACACAGTCACTCGCCTGAAATTTTTTTCTCACCTTCAGCATGTCTGCCCCACTATTCACCTCTGCTTCAATATCACGGAGCGTGAGGAACTGACTACCTTCTGCAAAAGTCCGTTCTGTGTGTGCAGCTCTCACTCACCTGGGGTGGAACTCTACCTACCAGGCTTCCATCTGTTGGCCCTCGTGACTGGATAAATTCCGATTCCACATGCCAGCCCATCAGATATTTGGAGCGCCAAGCGTATCCCCTCCAGGCAACTATCCTGAGGCCTCAACTGTTCCTCACAGACTGCAGTGTTGGGTCTCCTCATAAAATCACACGAAATCTACCCCCATCTGATGATCAAAGTGGATGTGCTGCACTGCAAGCTGCTCCTTCACCCCGCCCCCAGGTGTACTTTATGGTTTTCTTTAAAGTCACGGGAAAGGATAAATCTAGCCCAAACTGGTTTGGCTCAGTGGATAGAGCTACAGTCTGAGGACTAAGGTCCCAGGTTCGTTTCCGGTCAAGGGCATGTGCCTTATTGCCGGCACATCCCCGGTGGGGGTGTGCAGGAGGCAGCTGGTCAATGTAGCTCTCTCATCGATGTTTCTAGTTCTCTATCCCTCTCCCTTCTTCTCTGTCAAAAAAGCAATAAAATATGTTTATATTAAAAAAAAAAAAAGGACGAATCTACCTTGTTACACAAATTAAAATGCACACGGCCATCCCGCCTACAGAAGCTCCATGCTTCTCCCAAACCACCTGTGGCTCAGCGACAGTGGACACATCAACCACTTTGTTTTCCCCTCCGACTGACTTTTCAAGTAAAGAAAGCCACCTCACTTCCGTGTCTCATCACTGTGACTGGAGCTGAAACCTTCCTCCTGTCCCCCCCCCCCCACACACACACACACAGGACCTCCTCAGCCTTCCCGCAAAGCCCCTGGAGCTCAGCCTGCCCGCCCTGCGAGGACCGCGCGGCGTCCGCCTGAGCCGCCTCCATCCTGCCCCCGGCGGCCTGCACCCTCCGGCTCACCTGCCGCGCGCTCCCTCGGCTGGCTAGCGGGAAGGTTTTCTTTTCCTCCTTGCGTTCCTTTTCCAGCCCCCTGGGCCCCTTCTTCCTGCTGCCTCGCTGCGCGGTGGGAACTGTAGTTCTGTCCGCAGGTGCCAGGTTTGCGGCCGAGAAAGTGAAAGGAAAGCGAAGCCCTCCCTCCCGCTGCCCCGAGCCCGGGCCGCTGGGCGCTCAGCGCAGGTGAGGCGCCCGCCAGAGGCTGAACTTTCATCATCCTGCAAAGCCAGTCAACTCAGCCAAACCCTGCTCCTCCGATCTGCTCGCTTTCTCTTATGCAGCCCCCTCTCTCCCTCTCCGCCCCGTTTTTTCCTGATGTCCCTTGTTTGGCTGGGGAGGGGACCCCAGGGGAGAGGATACCATGGAGGGGATACAGAGCTGGGTCTTGAGTCTTTGGAGGTGTTTTGTGGATTTGAATGGCTGTTCTCGAGGAGCCACGAAGAGAAAGGGGTTCCAAAGAGAAGATTTAAAAAGCGAAAATAACTTTGCATTTATTTGTGCGGGGAGAAAGAGCTAAAAAAAAAAAAAAAAAAAAAAAGCATCTGTTTCTCTCCCTCCAATCCTCTCCCACAGAACTGAGGTTCGTGTCTGGGTCTGAGGAAACAGCGTTTATCAGTCGCCGATGCTGGCAGAAGAGACAAAGCCCAGGTGGATGTTCCTGTTTTCCCCCTGAATTCTCCCTTCTGTGCCTCACCCCCCCACAGGAAGTCCTCGGAAAGCCCAGCCCCAGGTCTGAAGGGTCTCGGGTTCTCGGGCCAGAGGATTAGATTTTCTCCGCTATGGAGAAGGTCACATTCGGCAGTTAAGCCATGGAGGCACAATATGCAAAACAGAGACATCAGGCTGATAAAATATTTAAGTTGGTATACTGTTTTCAAACCATGGGCAGAAGCCGAGTCAGGAGTCCTGAAACCAATGTAAGTGGGCTGCAACCAACAATTTTACAGAATAGGTTCGCAAACAATTCCAGAATGTATCTCATGTAACCGGGCTCAGGATTGTTCTGTGAACTGTTTGGGTCAGTTGCAGACCTGCTTGTGTATGGCGGGGTGGGGGGGTGGGGGGTGGGGGGTGTGAAAGGATAGGGGGTGGGGGAGGGAGAGCAGTGCGAGTGAGGTAGAATGCATTTCTTCATGTGGCTGAGGTCTAGAAAGATTGAGAAGCACTGCAACAGAGGACAATTTATTCAATATCCAACCCCACTTTTCCCCCATGATTCCTTCAGATGATCTTTAAAATATGATTTATTTTGCCGAAACCGGTTTGTCTCAGTGGATAGAGCGTCCGTCTGCGGACTGAAGGGTCCCGGGTTCGATTCCAGTCAAGGGCATGTACCTTGGTTGTGGGCACATCCCTAGTAGGGGGTGTGCAAGAGGCAGCTGATCGATGATTCTCTCTCATCGATGTTTCTAGCTCTCTATCCCTCTCTCTTGAGGGATATTGATTTTTCTCTGTGAAAAATCAATAAAATATATTAAAAAAATAAAAATAAATAAATATGATTTATTTTACTCCGAATTTCACTTACAGATAAATTTTGGGGAACTGCTCTTTTGAGTAAGGTAACCCAATGCTGGCAGGTAGAGCGAGAAAACACAAGACCCTGCCACAGGCTGCTGCAGCAGACTGGAGAGCCAGGGTCATAGGTCTGTGACTGGGAAATGAAATGTAGTCCGGGACCCATCGCAAATGTATGGGCAGGAGGCAGGACATAAAATCCATTAAATGTCAATGTCAGTGAGGTGAGCCATCAAATGTTTTCTTCTCCCAGTAATGCTTACTCTTAAAGAAAAAAAAAAAAAAAGTTAGCGGACTCAGACCCACTACTTGGAGAACATTTAGAGTGACATCCAATGGTAAAATGTCCAGATGGTTATGGAAGCCAAGGAGAGACTCAGCCTCTCCCTACTCTAACCTTCTCCTTCAGTGTGGCTATCAGTGCAAAGAGCACACATAGCCTGGGCCATGGGGAAAAGGCTTTCTGGGTGGTAGTGGTGGCCAGGTTTTATATATATATATATATATATATATATATATATATATATTCCCCCCCCCCCCCCATTGATTTCAGAGAGGAAGGGAGAGGGAGAGATAGAAACATCAATGATGAGAGAGTATCGTTGACTGGCTGCCTCATGCACGCCCTCTACTGGGAATTATGCCTGAAACCCGAGCACTTGCCCTTTACCGGAACCAGAACAGAACCCAGGACCTTCCAGTCTGCAGGCCAACAATGCTCTATCCCTTGAGCCAAACCAGCTAAGGCTATATTTACTTTATATACACGCATATCAATATACAGTATACACATGTATTTCACAATATATACATTTTACCATTTTAAGGGTATCATTCTGTCCTAGCCAGTATGGTTCAGTGGATAGAGCACCAGCTCGCAGACTGAAGGGTCCTGGATTCAATTCTGGTCAAGGGCATGTACCTCCTTGCAGACTCGATCTGGGCCTTGGTCAGGGAGGTGGCAGGAGGCAGCCAATCCATGTTTTGTCTCTCTGACATCGATGTTTCTCTCTCTCTGTCTGTCCCCCTTCCACTCTCTCTAAAAATAAATGGAAAAATATTCTCCGGTGAGGATTAACCAAAGATAATTAAT